TGCGGAGGTGGCTGAGTTGGGTGGTGGCGGCGGTGGCGGCGTGATGGCTCCTGGGTGCCGCGGCGGCGGTGGCAGGAGGGGACGGGTGGCCGGGGACCTCGGGGTGCTTCCGCTGCTGCCGCGAGGCCTCAGGAAACGGCGCGTTGTGCCTGGCTGGGTGGCGGCAGGTTGGAAATCCTAAGCCGAAAAATGATCGGAAAAAGGGGAAAATGATGCTCTAGGGCCCTCGCAGCCCCCTGGGGTCCTCCATCCCGAGGGAATAGCGCTTTCCAGGGAGCTGGGACCGGGGGGGGGCTGGGTTTGGGCCAGACGGGAACCAGGCGTCTTGTGAAATCGGCTGTCCCAATCTTGCTTCCTCCTTTCGCAGGTTCCCTTCTCGCTTGTCACAGCCGGGGGGGGCAGCGGGACCCCCCCAGGGACGGGGACGGTCCCTCCATCCTCACCCGCCCCAACCGCGTTCCTTGACTGGGGATTTGATTTTTCCACCTCCTGAGCTTGGGAGAGCATTGATGGAGCAGGAGGTGATGGGGTGGGAATCTCCCGGTGGGGCATGATCCAGATCCGGCGAGTTGCCATGGCTACGGTGATGCTGTGAGAGCACGTCAGGTGCACACCAGTTTTGGGCTGGACATCCCAAACTGGGAGAGTTGGTGGGGTGAAGCCTGGCAGGAAAGCCAATGGCAGAGCACCGGGTGATCCAAACGGCCACCGGGACAGGGGACGGATGAACCCATCGCATGCCAAAAATGGGGAATTTAGTTTTAATTCCCCAAAAGCTGGCTTCTTCCCAGCTAGGGCACCGTGGCAGATGCTGCTTTGGCAGAGTGACGGGAGGGTTGTCCCCGTGCCAAGTGGTTTGGGACGCGCCGAGGTGGCTTTTTGGGATGGAGCGGAGGAAGGGGAGCGTCTTTCCTGCCGGGATGGGGACGTTGGGGTGCTCCTGCTCGGAGCAGTTGGGATATTTTTTCCCCCGGCTTTACACGTCAGGACGGAGCAATCGGGAATATATAAATGAATTTGTGGGTGGGGGCTGTGGTGGCGGTGACGCTGGGAGGTTTCGGGGGGAGCCTTGGGGACAGTGGCTGGTGGGGACGGGGGCCGCTCCAGCTGGGAGGTTTTGTTGGCGGGGGCTTTGCTGCTGCTTCTCCTGGGGCCTGGAAGAGAGAGCGGCAAACGTCACCGCTGCAGATGTTTGCAGATGTGCTGTTGGCCCCCGTGGTGGGACCGGTCACCAGCGAGCCCCGGCTGCGGTGTCGGCCTCGGCTCAACCGGGAAATAAAGCTGATGCTCGGCTTTCTGCTGGCTCTGTCCCCAGGCCGATCCCGGCATGGTGGCCAAGTCCAGCTGGGTGTCACAGGGGCTGCGG